TACAACTGCAAGAAAAGGACGAAGAAGTAATTCTAGATAAGGAAGTTGTTACAACAAGGGCCCATGAGAATATGGTTGTGGAAAAAGGAGAGGAGACTATTGAATATACCCCAACAGGTAAAGAGTTGCACTGGCTTGAGGGTGGCATGGTGGCAATGGTAAGATCACTGGCTTTGGTATTTGAGATTCAGGAGAAAATGGACGTAGATGGAGGCTCAATCTCGTTATCACCAATCGGGGGAAAACGGGTGTTATTAACTGAAAGAGTCACAAGGTATTTATCTGAGTATATGAAGCTTAATGAGGAGTTGTTTGGTTTGTGGTTTGAGTCTATAAAACCATGGGAGAAGGCACCAGAAGAGAAAAGTCGAATGGTGTGGTTGCGCATATCGGGAGTGCCATTAAAGGCATGGGGTGAGAGGTGTTTCCATATGATAGGTGAGACAATCGGAGAAGTATTAATGATTCATGACGATACAAAGAAGAAATCAATCTTATGGGATGAGAGAGTACTAATTTTATGCTCAGACTCTAGCAAGATCACAAAACGAATTAAGCTGAAGGTGGGAGAGTAAGTGTATGAGATAGAGATAGTTGAAGAGGAGTGGCCCTCTGATCCGAATTGGTGGATGTCGGAGAATGATCGAAAAAGTGACCTGGGAATGGAGTCCGACTACTCTATCTCATGGAGTCAAAATGAGGATCCTGAGTTGGATACGGATGTGATTTGCGGCGGCGATGATATGAGTACTAATTCAGAGCAATTAATGAAGGATTTGGATTTAAATTCAAATTTGAAGCTGGTATCGGAAATAGAAAGCTGTAATCAAATTGAACTAGGGATGGATTTAGAAGGGGATAAAAGATATGGGCTGTCTAGGATTGCCTATTTATGGTAAATCTAGGAGGAAGAAGTTATGGGAGTCAGATGTAAATAAATTCTGTGCCAAGCTCGCTGTCTGGAAGGCTACTACTCTTTCCTTTTGAGGCCACCTCATCTTGCTAAACTCGGTACCTTTTGCACTACCTTTTTTTTTATATGTCTTTATTTTTATTATCAAATTTTGTGCTTGTGGAGTTTATTAGAATTCAAAGGAGTTTTTTATGGGGCGGGACAGGGTTAAATAAGAAGATTTCATGGGTTAAATTGGACTATGTTTGTAGTACTAAGGCGAAGGGCGATCTAGGGGTGCCGGATTTGCGTAGAAAAAATTAGGCAATGTTAGGAAAGTGGTGGTATAGGTTAGGTGATGGGGTCGATAGCTTATGGAAAAGGGTGGTGAGGGAGAAATATTATGGAGGTAGAAAGGAGGTCAATATTACAGCGATTGAGTGTTCGAGGGTGTCAAAGCTTTGGAGGGATATTATTAGGATAGGGGGTCAGTCTTTGAGACTTAGGAATATGTTGTTTAAGGGTTTCAAGCAAAGTAGTCAATACCGTACAGGTATGTGTACCGATTTTGTTACTGGAACGGTACATACCGGATACCAAAATTTTTCGTGTACCGTTTCGGATTTATCGCTATAAATATATATTTTTACAAATTAAATATCAAATTTTAAAATAAAATAAGAGATA